ATTATATATTTGGAGTATACATAAGAGTTATGATGAAGTTTTGCAGAGATAACCAAAATATGAGCTTACAAATTTAATTTAATTTAATTTATGGAGGGAGAGAATGTTGTGAGCAAGATGCAATTTTCAATATCTTAAGGTTCAGATCAACAGCGGATAAAGTAATATGGTGTTATACTGCTTTGAATAAGATTTTTTATCACATTAATACACTGAAAGTACAAACATGTCACTCTTTGTTTATAGGCTGCAATAATAATGTTGCCAACAAAGCATTTAGTAGTACAACTTAACCAATAAAACAACCTACAACAGACTAATTGCTCCTTATACACTTCACAGAGCCAGATTGTTACACCTCCAGAACAGCTAAACGGGCCCATATATGTTAAAAAAAATGGCTTTATATTCTAATTCTATGTTTATAACCAATGGTAGCTTAGACCTTTGATTCTCAGCAAGAATGTCAGGATTTTCAACTTATATGCACTATTATAAAGTCAACCCTCACGTGAAGCCAGCACAAAATATCTACCCTTGAGATTCTAAACAAAAGGCATTTGCTCTAAGAATTGGACTAATACTCTTGCACAGACCTTCTTAGCATTTTATCAATACTAGCAGCAGGAGACACACACATAAGCATACAGACACACAAAACATTACACACACACACACACACACGTTACACAAGCACGCACACACACACTGATACGCACACATACCTCACGGTGCTTGTAATTCTCCTCGTCTTCTTGCTGATCACGAAGTCTGGCTAGATCCATGGCCTCTCTTTTGTATTCCAACTCCACATCCTCAAGTGGTTGTGGCAATAAGGGATGCTCAACCTTATTATCAGCATGGACATCAAATCCCCGTCTCTCAGTTTCCCAACCATGGGATCTGTAGGGCCCCTGATATGTGGTGTATGAACTGCCACTATAAGCAGCACGCGCTGGAGATCGCGAACGGCTTGCACGACCTCGTCCTCCATCACTAACATAAGCTTCAGTAAATGATACTATATTAACCATTTGTTTCAGCATCGCCTAACATATATAGTAGCTCTAACTAGATAAACTATACTTAGAATCCCTTTGATGCACTTTACAGTAACTTTTGAAGACAACTTGGGAAAATCAGATCCCTTCGCGAAACTCACTTCAATATCCAACATGGTATGGTAAAAGAACTTACCTCTTGCTGCAATCACAGATAAACAACATGCAATGTTACTAGAACTTCAAGTACAATACAGATGACGGTCCATAAAACATTACAATAGAGCTCAAAATGTTGAGATACAGTACTGCAATATAGTCACTAATTATCAGTTCTGTAATAGCGTTACAGGTATAGCTTTTAGTTGCCCTACCTTGTGGAGAATTTCTAGAAGGTTTCTGCAGATCCCCACGAATACGGTCCTCAAGACCTCTATCTTGTCTGCCAAATCTCTGATGAAACTGTGATGCATTTCTAGGGCTAGGGTTAGATCTTTGGGATTCTGAGCGCGTAAATCGATTACTGAAAGGACTGCGCTCAGGTGACCTAGATCTTCGGGGTTCTGAGCGTGAAATCCGAGTACCAATAGGACTGCGCTCTGGCGACTTAGACCTACCCGTATGAGAACCAGGAGAGCTCCTATCATTACATTCATCTTTAATCACTTTATGCACTTCATCTACACCTTTTCTCAAGATTAATCTATCCTTGCCACTAACAATGATAAACTTCTCATCCATCTTGATTTTGCAGCCATTGTCTAGCTAAATCTTCTCGATCACTTTATCTGTGAAAAGTGCTCTCACTTGCTTCTCTTGCACCACCCTTTCAAAGAAATCCTGGGAGTTGCGGTTCCCTCCAAGGGTAAATGGACATCCCTGCAATTGTTTCATAGTCCAGCAACATTGAAGCAAAGAGTTGGTAAACCGAGGCTAAAAGCACAAGTAAAATAAAAAAAGGATATCATACAGCAGCATAAATCAGCAAACAGAGGGCTGACAACAAATCGCATCAGGAGATGAATGGCCATGTAACCAACTAAGAAAATAAAATCTGACAATAATATCATCATCCCAATGTTTCTACCAGAACCTCCTGCTCAAGGGATTCAGATGTATGCAATCAGAGGTTTTTTATGGAGGACCCTTCATCAATCAGAGAGAGATTTATCATTCTTTCCCATTATCTCTTATTTAAAATGGAGCCTAAGATTGGTGTAAACCCACATCATATTTTGGAAGCTATTATAGTTTAATTTCTTCAAACCTGATGTGCTTTAGGATATAATGATCAAGGGAAATTCTTATTGGTAACCCTGTATTATTGCACTTTTGATTTTGGTAATCGGAGAAAAAAAAAATCAAAAAGAGGTTATCATCAATGTTAATTCCATACTCTTGGTTTATATCAACCACGACATTAATGACCATTTTTCTAATCATAATAATAACTTAAGTTGCTAGCTACTGTAAACAATTCCAAAGTTAAGATGAGTTTGCCCCTTCCTTTATGAAGAATTCTCCCACCACCTTGATGTAGTGATGGTTTCACATCTCTTTGTCTCTATCATTAGCTCTTTTTCACTGTAGATTGTAGGTTTTTCCCAGCAATTTCTTCAAACATTGAATAAGTTCAGGTGCTAAACAGCGTGTGTTAATTTCCCATTCCCACAATTTCTTTCCTAAAAAGAATTGATTTGTAGATTGAGACCTCTAATTCTGCTTCACTTTTCATCTGGGTATCTCAAATCTTCATGATATTTTAACCATCTAAGTAGATTTTATGGTTGATGAATTCCAAGTTTACAATGTGAGTTGGGGTTTTGTTTGTTGGTGTTTCTTTAAAATAATTTTTTTTACGATAATGGTGGTTACTGTTTCTCAATTTGGCCCTCATCAAAACCAGCAAGTTCACGATACCCATCGTTGCTGTCAAAGAAAATATAGTGTTCATCAGTTTAAATTTTGTTTTTTTTGGGTGTGTGTGTGATAGCCTAGTAGGGTAAAGAAGAAAAAAAATGAAGTTAACTAGTGTGGTAGCCAAGTAGGGTAATATTAATTGCTAACCATGATTAAAAATTTAAGTTATCTATAGGTTTTAATGGTGATTAACGTCATGGTTGATATAAATCGAGTATAGGGTTACCATCGATAATACTTTATTGTCGATTGCCAACTCTGAAGAGCAATAACACAGGGTTAAAAACCCCAATAATTAATATAGACAGTAAATATGCAACATTGACCCTAACCTGAGTAAAGTGACCAGATTCTACACAAATTTTGCAAATCATTTCTTCTTCCTTCCTCTTCTTCCAGTTCCTCTCTGTTGCTTTAGATTTAGCCTCCCAAACCTTAGCCTCTCGACTCGTAAAATCTGTCGGGACAGCATTAGGGTCACGCTCATCTTCCTCATCGGAGCTAGCTTGGGATTTTTTGGTATTTACTTTTGGCTTTTTTTGTACATTCACTACAGAAGATCCAATTGGTCCAGTATACGCCTTGTAGATATCACTAAAATCATCATCATCCTCCAAATCTGGTCTATTTTCCATTACGGGCTGTATACAAGCAAAAAAAAAAACAATAAATTCATAGTTGAATCCTAACATTAAAGGGTTGTGCAATACATTAGCAACCAAATTTGTTTCAATTATCTCGAAAAATCATATAATATTATTAGCTTTTATTAGGCTCATAATTTTGTTCTCGATTTTGGAACCCTAAACTTATGCATTGAGAATTAAATAAAATAAAATAAAACCCTAGATTGTGAAATTGATATGATGATTACAAAAAGAAATAAGAACGAAGTTACCTCAAAAGCTGCTTCAATGATGAAGAACGTCAAGTGCGATGTTGAGTGCGCTTCAATGGAGAACTGACAGAGAGGAGGAGGCAGGGCTATTGTGACTTGTGAGTCCGTTTTTTATTTTTCACATTTGCTTTTCAATGGGTTATTTTCCAGGTATTTCAAAAGCAGGTTAGTGGGGCATTTACAAATACTAACAAACATCGAGGAAATCGAGATAGTTTTTTTTTTTTTTTTAAGATTTTTTTTGTTTTTGTTTTTTTACAACATAAAAAAGATTTCATTGATGAAAGAGTCAAACGGCACTTTCATTACAGATTCGATAAACGATAGCCTTAATAAAAATCTTCATCCGAAGCAATACAATCTGTGAGTTAGCACTAATTTAGCTTGAGATCCACGGATGAATAGTTGTTTAGGTGAAAAAACTCATATGGCCTTCTAGATACTTCTGAAGAGAGATAATAATGGATTCACAATTTCAGAACACTTTTTTTTTTTTTATCTCTCTTCTATATACTTTTATTATATTTAATATTGTTATGTATTTGTTCATACCTAACAAACCTACACTGGTTTCCTCCTACTCTGTCCATTTCCCATTTTAAGCTAACAACATAGTTCGTGTAAATAGTTTGTGATGATCTCCACCTACACAAAAGACACCACATCCCAATACTATACAAAAAACGAGATTATAAATTATTGATCTTTACTGATTATTTGCAAGTTAAATTCTTAATTGCAAATTCTACACTCATAAACCCTAACCCAAAACCATGCGTACTTACAAATCATTATTAAATATAAAAATAATCCTAATTACTATTAACGTTGAGAATCAATTTTGTAAAAAAAAAAAAAATACTAGTCAAAATTTTAACAAGTGTGATAATACCCAAGTGCCAAAATAAACGTTGATTTTAACCTTGCCATCCCCCAAAATTGCTAAACAAAGTAAGCAGTAGCAACAGTAGTCATCTCCCTCGGTTCCTTAGTTTTTGACCGGGGACTCGGTTGTGCTCACCCAGTTATTACTAATATGATAAGTTTTTTACGGGTACTAATATGATAAGTTAATAATAACAACAGTAGGTGGGTTATTTCTAAAAACAATCCTTATTTTAATGATATTATCTAAAAGCAACTGATTGAATTTATGCAATGAGAAGCATGACAAAGTTACATGTCCACAAGAATAACAGAGAAAGTATTATAATACATTATAAATTTTTTATTCAAATTTTTATTGTAATTACATTTTTATTTTGATTTTGATTTATCCCAATTAATACAAAGTTTGATCAACCACCACCACAACGTAGAATCCATGCGATGAGTGATAACCACCCGTAAGTAGTAGAGATAAGCATCCTTGCGAATGTCACTCTGAAAATAGAATGTTATTACAAGGTTAAACTCAAAATTGTAACCCCATCCCCAAAAAAGGTGCATAACCCCCCCCCCCCCCCTTTTTTTTTCCCTCTGTACACATAATACTCACATTCTATATTTAAGCCTAAATGATGATATTACAAACAATACAAGGGCTATGTATGATAAGCTATACACTCTCATCATGCTGCAGAATCAATTCGTCTTACAATTTCTCGAGTAGTTAGAAGATAACCTGCCTTGTGTCTGGAAAAACTCAAATGGTGTCCCTGGGCCAAATGACCTTCTGGTGGAATTCGGGGAGCCAGGCAACAGAGGCTCAAACACTGGAGTCCTCTTCGGGTGAGCTACAGACATGGGTATAGCTTCGTTCTCAATTAGCCTAGGCTGCGGTTCAATATTACCTAGAGATAAGATGGGGCCACCCAAGCGCTCAGCTTGCTGTAATATGTTGATCTTACTTGGTCTATATGTGAAGCGGAAGTATTTTAGAGCTAGTATGGGACCCATTCCCGCAACAACAATTAGCTGAAACAAACACAAAGGTTTCTGTAAGTCAAACAAAAAAAAACACAGAAGAAGAAAGCAGCAGGCAAGGAAAGGTATTTATAGGGAGTCTAACAGATATCCATCGAGTAGAGACTTACAAACATAGTAATCCAGTACGATGGTTGCTTACACAACCGGAACATGATTGTGTGCATTCCTGAAGATGGAATAGTGCTGACAATGAGATTGATGATGTAGAAGGCAACCAAATTTCCCCATATTGCAAGGTGCTGTAATATCGTAAAAGAACTAAAACCAGGGAAACAAGAAGATAAGTTTGACAGGATAAACTAACAAGGGGGCAAAGTATGAAATAATAATACTGTAGATCAAACATCAAACCAATCAAGGTACATAACTGGGCCAAAGTGTGAACCACCCCAACCTCAATATTTAGCTCCCGAACTTGCAATTTAATAACCGCATTTAATGATGAAAGGTTTTAGAGACCCACATTGGGTCCCAAGAGAATTGCCTTTAACTGGGGGGAGGGGGTTGGGGAGAAAGAAAAATCTACATCTTTCATTCAAAATTCCTCGCCAGCATATTACTTTCTTCAACCAGCATATTCTAAATCTAGAAATCAGAGACAAGTATTGTTTAGGGCTTACTTTGTTTCCAGAGCTACAACAAAAGCTTGCAGCCAAATGCATCCAGACAGCGCAACCATAGCTACCTGCTCCGTTTCACTTTTTTCACCAGCATATGCATTTAAACTGATAATAAATACAACAATAGCCTGCATATTGCATCAACTTGGCCAGTTAAAGACAAGCAAGAAGATGAATATATAGGAAATTAGCTCAATGGATTAATGCAACTTAAATACATAGTGATGGATAACCAGTACCAAATGCAATCAGGAATTTTTAATGTGTGATGAGACTTTCCTAAGGTGGCAGATAAAGATGATCAAACTAGTGAAAACTGTCTCAAGGGGGTAGAAATGCCTGAAGAAATTAATTGTTCTGCTTAAAATTTGTGCACTAACTCACTAAGGACTTTCATTTCGTCACTATTCTCAATAAATTACAATACTATAGACGCAAATGAGGATTAATATACGTACATGGAAAAGAGACCGTCCAAACCACCCAGCAAAGGTACTTGGATTCAGAACCCTGTTACAAAGGAGCAACTATGAGACACATAGTACACTCAGCTGATTATATATTAAATGCTAAATCAGAGATATTTTTGTTTTTATAAACAATTTATCCCAATAAGAGTTATAATCAAAAGAATAGTCCTAAATTAAAATATAAATATAAAATCAATGCCGAGCAAATTCATGGAATTATTGAGAAATATAGAGTTAATCTGTCTCACCCAGTCTGACAAAAAAATTCTAAATTCTACTAGAATGTATCACAAGTTTTTTACCAACATATCTTGATCAGTCTTTTACCCATTATTCTGCAAAATTACATGATTTCACTAGGTATTTAAACTACTCTTTCCATCATCTCTGAAGACATCAGACTAAACATGTATTTAACAAGGCAGCAAACCAACAAATTAATTTTTCTTTGCCCCCCCCCCCCCCAGTGAACCATATATTTCAAGCTCCAAGAGAAAAGTGCAGACCTTCCAGCTTGACAGTAAAATAAGATCTGGGGATGCTGCATAACTGTCCTCTCATTTAGATCTTTGTCAAGGACACTAACTAGAACAGGAACACTTGTGTAGAAAACATTATAAGCCATTAAACTGACAGAATTGAAAAGGCTAGTTCCAGATATGCCTGAAACAAAAGAGTAACTGAATGTCCCAGAAGAGTTAGGTATATTGTATTAAATGAAGCCATATAAAATAAAAGTACGAAGATTAAGAGCTTTAAAAGTGGCATACAATATTTGTATGAAGCAGATAATTAGGGACTTGTAAAAGGAGTATTGGGAAAGAAATGCAGTGCGGTTATATGAATAGCGTCCATGCACAAGAATCAATCTCTTCAAAAATTGGAATCCTGCAATTGAGATATTCTTGTGAGACACATTAACATAAGAATTTAGACCAAAGACAAGCCCAAAAAACACATCCAACATATTTAAGAGGCTTCCAAGATCCACGTCAAAATATTTCTCTAAGAAGGAACATTTAATAAACAGTTTTAAATTCTTAATAAGAAATATTATGCAATATTCAATAAGGAAGGAAATGAAAAGGAAAACTACAGAGTACAAAAGGTTGCTCCTCTTCCATAAATTAGCTTGAAAATGAATTATCATATGTAATATTTATAAATTCTATAAAGTCAAAAGATGTTCAATCATCTTCAGCTAGAGAGATGATCCTGCAACCTACAATCAACAATCAGGATTTTTGAACGTGTGGTAATCTGGTAGTTGCTTAAAATCATCAAGACACAAATATGGTCAACCGACTGAGTTGATAAAATATAAAAAGAAAATGATATACGAGGTGCCTTTCGGATAAATCTGAGTCTGAAAAATTATTTATGGACAAAGTCTGGACACAACTCTAAAACTTCTACCAAAAAAAAAGAAAACAATATCACTAATATATTTATAGGAAACTACCAATAGATCAGGACCATGTCTATATACCTTGGTTTTTCTCATTCTGTCTATCAACTCTTATCTTTCCATATTCATCAATGGATAATTCAATCCATTTGCTTTACGTACTACTCCCTCCATTATGGAATAACTGACTATATACATGTGAAATTATGAAACTTTAAATCAATACTTATTTAGCAACAATTTACATGGTAATACCCTTTTTTTTTCTATTATTATTATATATAATTTAATAAAAAGCTATAGTCAAAGTTAGTATATGAATGGTGTAAAAAGTCAAACTGTGTTATGAGGAACGGAGGTAGTATCTAGAATTCTAAACAATATTTGATTTAATGCCAAGAATCACTTGATACTTCTCGCACAGCAGTTCATAAATACCTCGAGCACACTTAAAGATGCATGTCTATCCATTATGTGTAACAGAAGGCTACATTGGGCACCTGATGCAACTAAACTGCCATAGATCGGGATCTAACAGTCCTAGGAAAGTTTGCTTTAAAAATTGCTAACGATTGAGGGAAGGAAATACGAAGATAAGCTTACTAACTTTAATCGGATCACATTAACAGATAATTTCCAAAAGGAAAAGATAGGCTTGCCTACTTCAACAAGAGAAATAATTTAAGATAGCTCAACTAAATTTATATTGGTGGTATCTTAATTCCATTTCATGCAAACAAATACTTCCTCCGTATTTTAATACTTGCAATGCTTCCCTAAAATGGAAATATCACAATATTTGCAGCACACTATAATTGGAAAGTTTTTTATGCTGAAAGTTGTACCATCACCCTTATTTAAAGCTCATGGCCCACCCTCATTTTAAGTGTATTAAATCATGTGAGACCCACTTTTCTTAAGTACCGTGAAAAGTGTGTGTTGCAAATATTAAAAAGAGAGGAAGCATTATTTTCAGACTAAACAAGCAGTTGCTTTAACTGATAATTTTGATTTCCTTCATAAGATTTACAAAATAAACACATGGGGGAAAAAACAAAAAAAGATTATCTGAGAAGATTTTAGTTTCTCTAATCAATGTTAACTTTTCTTAATTAGAATTCAATAATTGGTAATAAGATAATTAACTTGACACAACTGGACCACAATTAATTACATGAGATGAGGAGTAAAATTAACAAAAAAAAAAATCTTGAAAATACGTACTCCCAATGCTATAATCAGCTGCCCTTGCAGCCTGTAATCCTTCCCTCCCACTGATTCCAACACCAATATCAGCTTGCTGTATCATCCTTACATCATTGCCACCATCACCGATAGCCAATGTTTTATAGTCACATGACTTTAAGAGCTGTACAAGCTGCAATCCAGGGTCAAAAAAAAATAGTCACGATGCATTCACGAACACTCATACGTCCATGTAACAACATTTTTTAGATAACAATTAATCTTCCAGCACAAGTATGTTAGCCTAAATAGGTAAATTTTTGTGGGCTTCAGGGATACAGAATTCTATCAGTTTTGGGGTACCCATCTACCATTTGCAAAAAGAGCATAGCCATGTTTTCAATTGTTTATGGGCAATAAAACATAGATAAGTCCATCCAACTTCTTTTGTAACTATACTTAGGTTCGATTAAAAAAAAAATCAACGGATGAAAGTGCATTGGGTAAGAGAATATGATGTAATAATGTAGAGACCATAAATAAAAAGTCACAACAAACTGCACCTGTGCCTTCTGTGATGGAGTCACACGGCAACATATGGCAGTTCTTGACAGTATTGCTAATTCAGAGAACTCTTTTTTGCTATGCTTCAGTGCAATTTCAAGTGCCCAGCCATCTATTACAAAGGCCACATCCTGCATTAAAAGGAAAAAAAAATGAAAAGAAAAATATTGATAGAAGAACATAAAATGATATGAAACAACCATGAGAAGACATCTATTGCTCTCCGTCTCCCCTTCTCGCCATATTTTCTATGAATAAATCATAAACAGATGACAAATGGTGGAAAAGCTAGATATATACAACTATGACTCTATGCAAAGCATTTTCAGCTGCACCATTTGTCCAGCGTTTTCAGCTAGATATATACAACTATGACTATGCAAGTTTATAAACTAAATGCTCTCCCCGTCACAAATAAAGCATGCTTCTAATTTCACTTTCAAATACAAGTGAGTCTACGTTTAGCCACATAGAATAAAAACAAGTGCTTCAATATCAAAGTGAAGGTACAAGCATATGCATTTTCAATTAGTACCTACAGTTTTTTTCCCTTTTAAGATGAAACACTTGTAATTTTACATCGCACACAATATCAATCACTTTCTTGGTGATTTCTTTGTTAGATTTGTCTTCATTCATACTTTCCAAATATATTTTTTTTAGTTTTTATTTTTTTACAATTTCACTTCTTGGTAATTAAAAATATAAACGTTTGAATATGCATTGACAAGCATGAAATAAGAGATGTTTCATCTAAAAATTTGGAGGAAGTACAGCATATAATTAACAACGAAATTCCCATTATCCTAAAAAATTGCAATAGATAATTTTATATTCGACAAATCCATGTCATAAGAAATTTATCGAGTGTCACAAAGTCAGCGAACCCATCCATATATCAACTTATTTCATTGTCACCTATTTTTTTTTACATTAACTTCAAAGTAGGTTAATGAATCAAGTGACAGATTGTAGATGAATTTATTCAAATAAGCAATTCATAATCAGTATATTCGTTTAAACCAGCTACTATACACACTTTGAAGATCATATACTTGAATTATTGATCAGAGGAGCCATAGCTTCTAAAAAATGAATGGATTATTAACAGTTCACACAAACAGAATATAGAGCAACAAACACAGTGGAGAGTCCTATCATCAGACCAAAACCACTAAAAATGATATAACAGTACCTTTGGCTCAGCAGTTGTTATTCTCATTGTACACAGGACCCTTTCCAAGTTTCTGCGAACTTCATCTGCAGTTTTCCCATCAATCAACAGGAGCTGACCTTTTGGTTCTGTCCAAAGTTCAGAAAAAGTTATAACCCTTATTATTGAGATGATAGACATGATACGATTACCTCAGTATCTGTAGATAGGAAAAGAAAGCAAAGCAAGTGAATTCCACATATATTACATGGAAATGAGGTCATGTATTCAACAAATGCTGAGCTAAGTATCCAAATCTTCTGATGAATAAAATCAGAACAGAGCAACTCGGATAATGTGGAAGAGTGGGAGTTAGTAATCACCTTGCTTACTTTTTTTCTCTTTTGTCTTTTTAGAGGGGAATAGTGTGCAATCATCTAAATATTTGATTTACGAGTGATCCTCAAGAGAGGGATTAGGTGAACTCACTATTCTATTGACCATCCTTGAATTTTGATGGCCCTGACAGTGCTTATATATTTTTGGAAGTTGAAATAGTAAATTGAATAAAGCATAAGGATAAAGTAACCTCACAAAGTAAACGGATTTAAAAATAACCCCAATTCCGCGCTATACCAGATTGAGTAATATTTGAAATCCCCATCTGCCTTGGATCACATAGAGTAAATCATTGCGAAGTGGTACCCAAGAACTGTATGCCCTTTGCGGCTCTCTCTAAATAAAAACAATGGCCATATATGCTACGAGCCAAGGCATATCCAAAAAGAGACATTTTCTTGAATTTGGTCACAGGCACCTAGCCCTAAGCGGACATGACTAACCAAACCTCTCTTATATTCCTTTTTTATTCACTTTTACTCAACCAATCCCCACTATCTTAATATTCTATTCACCATCCAATACATGTGTGCATAAGGCAGATAGGGCGTTTATATGGGCATGCAAGGAGTAGAAAGTATCTAGCACATGGAAAAGGATGCATTCGTAAAAACCTAAAGTTTTTGTACCACACATATGAGATTCATATTAGCATGAAGCCCTTTAAACATGAACCATTTATCAAAGTTATTGTTGCCAGAATAAGAAATTACAAACAGAGATTCAGGAAAAGAGTAGGCTCTCTATCCAATGAATCATTTGAATTAATGTATATTAGACAAATGAGATATATTTGCTGATGTTCTATTACATTAACAAATAGATCCCCCACAGCAGAGGAGGCGTCTGCTATACAAGACATTGAAATGTGTGACACTTCTGAGATTTGAGGTTTTATGTTTTTCCAGATTGGTTTTCATATCTCTGGGGCTTTTACCCAGTGTATATACCAAGATAAAAAGAAAACAGCAATTAACACAAATTAAAGTACCTGGGAATACAAAATTGCAAGAAAGAGCAATTTGAATAGCAGTTCCCTGCTTGTCTCCAGTTAACATCCAAAAGTTTATTCCAGCTTTTCTGAGGGTGTCAATGGTTTCTGGTACCCCATTCTGCACAACACAGAAGCATACCAATAAAAAGAAGTTCCAATGCAGGTTTTGTGAATGTTCTCTATTTTTTCTCAAACAAACAAATCCACAAAGAGACGAAGAATGCACCTCGTGTTTAGCATTTACTTTCATTTACTCACTTTGTGTTTTGCAAACTTTACTTATTTCTTTTGCTAATGTTTTCTCATACCTTAATGTTTTTACTAGCATGTTTTACCTCTCCTTTTTATCCCCTTACCACTCTTTTCAAAATCTCGTAAATATTATTTGTATACTCTTTCTGTTTTTCACTTTACACGCTTTTATCCAACTTTTATTCAATCGATTATTTTGCTGTGCTCTTTTTCCTTTTCGGACAGTTCTTTATGAAGATTTATGTGCCGACCCCAAATCATTTTGGGACTAAGGCTTTGTAGTTAATGTTGTTGTAAACAAACAAATCCGGATAATTACGAAAGGTTCCCTCTAGGGTTTCTCCTTGGAAGAGTTTTTCTAGTTCCCTCTAGGGTTTATCCCTTGGGAGGGTTTTTCTAGCCTCCATAGCTAGATTTTTTCCTGCTTTTTTGAAGGTTTTCCTTCACTCTTCTCCTTTTTTCTCTTTCTTTTTCATCTCTCTTCTTCTGGTCTCTTTTGTGAATCTTTGGGGCTTCCATCGGTGTTTTTACCGGTGGTAAGCCCCAAAAAACTTTTTAATTGCTTTCAATAAATGGATCCCATCTTTGAGATGATGGTTATTCTATTAGGGTTACTTTCTTTTTTTGTTTGTCTGCCGAAAATTGAAGATTTAGGGTTTCATAATCTCCGAAATATCTAGAAGACCATATGAGTATTTTCACTCAAACAACTTTTCATCAGTGGATCTCAAGCCGAATTAGTGTTAATTCACAGATTGTATTGCTTCATATGAAGTTTTTTATTAAGGCTATCATTGATCGAATCTGCGATGTATCTAGTTGTAAGGTGATTTGTACTTGTGTTGGAATTCTAATTTTCCTACGAATAGTTTGTAAGTGTCGTTTGATTATCTTTCATTAATGAAATCATTTTTCTTGTTTTAAAAAAAAAAAAAAAAAAAAAAAAAAAAAAAAAAAAAAAAAAACAAATCCGAAAAAAGCTCCACAAAGAGGCCTAGATCTAATAATCTTGTAATCTCTCAACATCACTATAAAGGCTGTATTTAGAAGAACAAAATGGAGGATACTGTTAAGAGAGGGAAGCTTGATTGATTAATTTCAGGAAAAAACAGCAATAACAAAAGGATATATAAACTTCGACAGGTTTGATTCTCTCCTATTTAACAATCTAAAAGCCAACTAAAACTCTCATCAATACTCAAGATGAATTGCCACCCTCTAATCTTCCCTATATATGTAGTGCTTCCCCTCTAGATAACTATCTACCCTTTTCATCAAGCAAACTATATTATAACATCACTACATAAATAACCCCCCACCTCACTCCACCTTACTTTGATGCTTATCACAACCTAACTCCAAACTTTCACCTTTTCCTGTAGATAGTAGTTAGCATTTGATTCCCAGCCTAGGCAACAATGATCAACATCCCACTTGTCGCTTCACAAAACCGAGAAACTACATAAGCTTAACATTAAACTACCCACCAATGAGCTTTTATCTTTTCTTTCAATGGTTGAGCCATGAAAAATAGTTATGAGACTCCCATGGAATGATATCAAGAGTAGGATGGGTTTGGTGCTGGAATCTAGTGAGTTGGAGGCATAATAAAAACGATTTTTGTACTAAAGGTTAAGTATGGTTATGAACAGTTGTAATGTCTAGGTGGAGTTCTTAGTGCTTACTGTTGGGTTTGCAACAGGATGAATGAGGGTAAACTGAGGTAAAGAGGTGGATAGGTGCTGGAGTTGGAGTTTTGTGGGCTGAAAGACTGGGTAAGAAGGTTGGATTTAATAATGTAGGAGTTGTAAGGTGACGGGTGAAGATATGTGGGTTGAAATTTTAGGCATTGGGCATCAACCAAGTGAGGCTCATGCCCTCTCTATATGGGCTTAGATGAGCTACTAACCAAGAGGTTTATGTTTAATAGATTTGTGAAGCTATCCAAACTTGGGTTGGGTTTATAGGTGAGGTGAGGGTTGAAATAAATGGTTTAGAGAATGTCCAAAATCCCTTGCTTTACATCTACAGATATATGAGTTGTAATTCAGATCCTTTCCCGTTTTTCCCAATTTAATTGCAAGCTCCTTATCCAACCTCAAGGTGTGTGATCAAATTACCCTTAATAATGTCTGCTGAATTATTCTCTAGGGCAGCGATAAAGTCGATGTTATCCCTGTCATTTCCTACAAGCTTCACTAATTCCTTCTTCATCATGATGACAATTTCTGACATCACGACCATCACCGCAGTAACCTTGAATGATAACACCCAGACCATCATCATATCCACTATCATTGGCAGTTCTGCACTTGCGCTTCACCCTTTGGTTCACCAAACCATCAGAACCACGCCCCACCAGATGCACAAACCATTGCCTATCCCGAGTGGGCGATCTACCCGCTTTTAATTGCTTATTCCTCCACCCGTGGAAAGGATAGTACTTCTACCCGCAAGCCTCCAGGTCCGCCAACTAAACAATAGCTGTTTTTCTTTTTTAACTCTTCAAAACCACATGGTTAATAGGCAGGTATATGTGCTAGACATGCAAAAGCAATGACCTTGTTGCCAAGACAGAGTGTGAAAAAAATGAGTTAACAATAAACACTAAAAATCCAAGAATTCCCTATTAAATCTATGTTTGGTTCAACTTATTTTGTCTGAAGCACAACAAAAGTGCACCACAAAAATGAGATTACAATGGAAATTGGGAAAAAATGAGTTAACAATAAATACTAAAAATTCCGACATTTTCCCTATTAATTAAAACTATTTTTGGCTTAAATTATTTTGTCTAAAGCACAACAAAACATACACGGTTTAATTCCAAAAAAAAAGAAAAACAAAAAAATTATACACGGTTTGCTCCGATGCAATTTAATCACATCATCTAAAATAAATTGCACAAAAGATACCCCTGGATTTATTTCTTCAACTTTTTATTTAACAAAACAAAATGATAAAGACTAATGATCGAATGTGATATGTGGTTTGGACCAAATACTGCATTAAATTGCAGTTTGCAGAGCGGTTTAATTCCAAAATTTTTAGGAACTGCATCTGAATAAAATGATAAAGACTAATGATCTAATGTGATATGTGCTTTGGACCAAATACCGCATTAAATTGCAGTTTGCAGAGCGGTTTAATTCCAAAATTTTTAGGAACTGCATCTAAACCACAAACTATAATCGGTTAAATTACCCAAACTGCTAATAGACTATTTGGTTTGCAGTTTGGACTGCACTCTGAACAGCCCCAAGCAGGTTCATGCAAAATCAAAGTATCATAACATTATAAGGACTTAAGATACTATAATGGTTCTAGCTCCTTAATTACTTGGCGTCAAAAGAATCCAGTTGCAAAAGGCATATGCTAATATCACATCTGGCCAACCTTATTATAGAACTAGTCTTATAAAAAGTTCTGAGACCATTAAATGATCACAAAAGTTCTCTCCGACATATTGTAATTGTATTTTATCATCCACTCCCATCTTTACTTCCTAGGTCTCTCCTCTCAGTCTTCATCTTCTCCATTCTAGCCTGCCAAACATGCCGTACCAGTACCACATCAGCATCTCCTACCCCATACCCTCTATTGTCATCAACCTTGAACTCATCCTTTCCCACAGCTCCGACAACCAAATTCACATGTATAACCAACCTAAGCTTCTTTCCTTATGCTGTAGCATGAGTAAAGAGGTCGCAGATCCAAAACCTTAATACCCAAATTCAACCACCAAGCATAGTTCATCATTTCTCTTTGATTGTATTTTCTCTACCAAATTCAAAATTTTGTCAGGTTTTTCTCATCTAGTTGCTAATTTGATGGGTTTTGCTTTGTAGTTCTTGTTCTTTCAAATTTGCTGAGTGACTTGTAATTTTAGAATTGGTTTGAAATGTTACTGTGATTTTTGCCATGTTTTTATTATAATTAATTTTTAATTAGATGTTGGATCCAAGTGTGGTAGGTTCTCAATCTCTGTTTAAATTGTTGGATGTTGGAGGCATTGTGGTGGTTTCGGGAATTTGGGGCATTGAAATTTAAGTGATTGTGGTGGTATGATGGTGGTGGTTAGGTGATGTAACAGTGGTAATAGTCATGATATCTATAGCCATGCTTCCCAGGATGGCAGTGGGTGCTTGCTGTTGAGTGCCAAGGGCAGAATTGTATTTTTGACATTCTCTCTCCATTTTCTTAACATATGAGCCATTCAGAGACGGTACGACTATTTATGAACAGAAGATGTATAAAATATCTGAACTAGCTCAGAAAGGCCACAAAACCAAGCGAAAAAATAAAATTATATGAATGTAATGAATGTAAAAACAAACAGCAATAAACACGCCATAAGTTTGCAATCAAAATTTAAGTTTTTCCATGCCGAAATTAGAAAACAATTTAACGTCTTCATAATAGGGTACTTACTTGTAAACGGTCTTCTATTGCAGTCACAGCAAGAATTTCAAGGTCATGTTCTATTAATTGGCACACTTCGGCTATCCGCCACTGCAAATCAATGTATATTATATTCAAGGAAACCGAGATATTGTAATATAATCATAGTAGCTAGATACTGGTGAGATGTAGAGTTACCTCCCTATCAACCAAAGTACTACTAGCCTCCTTAAACATCAAAGACCATTCACGATATTCATCCTCCTTGAGCTCACGACATGCCAAACATAAAGTCCGTAATCCCAGTTGAGCATAATGTTCAACAGCTTCGGTAAATGTCCGTATATGTTGACCTAGTTTCAGAAAGCTAATAATCAATAAAGTGGCAAAAAGAATATCATATCTATAATAAAACAGCAAAAAAATCCCGTGTTGATCCTGTGAAGGCACATCTCTTGACTACAGAACCAAAGCCCACACTTGCAAGCATGATGCACATCATGATCAGAAATAAATACTGCATATCAAAATAGGTCAAAGAAAAAAATGGCATTAAGTTGGGTGACATTATGAAGAAGAATTTTGAGAGTTTTTAAGACAAAATAACTCACTTCAACACCAGGGAAATTTGAAGTTTTTAACAGGTGGCAATTACACCACACTATAAGCTATTATCAATTATTTCGTGTACAGGCATGAGAGATACTGAAGTTTAGAAGAAAAAACATTGTTCAAATATTTAAGAAATAATATTGAGAGAGAGAGACTAGAAACCATGTACTTGTCCTTACATAAACTCCCTTTCTTGGTCTGGTTATCAAATTAATCTAATTGAAGACTAGGTCAAAACTTTATATCATCAAACTCGTTCTAGTAAACGTCTACTATACTGTTCCATATCCACACAATTTTCCATGTCAGCCATCTCAAAAATAAAAAAAAGAAAAGAAAATAACACCTTTAAAAAAAACACTGCATAACTGCATTCATAAACGCACCAAACATCACTCAATACCGCATCTTTAACATTAGCGTTATGTGAACCACCTCTACAACTTTGACAAGCTATATTAATTGTCCCTCTCAAAGGATATGAGATTCTATAGCATGATGATTTCCAATAAAAAGAACAAGACCTCCCCCCTCTGTTTTTGCCACTCAAAAATATAATAATATATAAATAAAATATATTAAAAGAAGAGGACCTATTATTAAACCCACTGAGGCGGGATCTTGGATGGTCCAAATGGGAGCAGCCTTACCCCTACTAATCAAAATAGAAAACGAAGGAAGGTTTTTTACCAGTAATTGCACAAGGAAAAATTGCTTCATCAGCCCCTTTCGACAATAGCATAATCTTCCCATTCTGATAATCTCTCACGACAACTGACATTCTCTTCCTATCAGAGGTGAACTCAAGTACGTCCAGTAGTTCATATTGTATCAAAGACCCATTGCAATTTATCTCTGGAAAAAGAATTCAAATTATAAGACTGACAGATATATAAACACCTGACATGTACTTATATAGATAAGACAGAAACAGAATGATACCAAGAATATTTGCAGCCTTATTGATTAGAAACATATGCAATTGAGCAGCAGCTTGAACTAGGGCCTCTTCATCCTGAGATTGTGACTTATACACAACATCTCCCCTTTTACTGAAGATTAAGATAGACAGAAATGGACAACACAGAACTTTACTATAAGATTAAACGCAAACCTCAGCAGTACAAATCATACAAAAGAAAAGAGCCTAATTAAAGTGAAATTCAACTCAAATATAAAGGTCACCTCTTTGTTGGTATAACTGTATTACATATTGCCATAACAGTTAGAGATCTGATGATATCTGAAGAGCCACTGGAAACAGCATCAAGAAGTGCAGCATCTGTACAATATATGTAAAGAATTAAGAGCCAGCACACAAACCCCAAACAAATTTATACATGATCAAACCAGGCTTCCCATGTAGTTTCACAGGTTTAGGATTTACAATATTGAAGAGGCATTTACCATGAGGACAACTGGTGTAATCACAAAATTATAGAGGAATAGGTAAAAGTAGGTCTGATATTTAAACTTCCAAGGAATAAGCAGTAAGTCTATTGTGTTTTATTATCATGCCAACATTTGCTGCTTCACACATTACAGAATTGGCAGTTGTGAGAATACAATTCAAACAAAAGCTGCACCCAAATAAATTATATATAAAGATACAATAAACCAAAACATAAGGCTATACCCCCTTCCCCTCTTCCCCATCAACTGTAGTCAAGTAATGCGGGGATGACAGGGACATCTTTTTCCTAGAAACCAAAAATCTATTTTCTTTATACCGCTGATAAGAAAAGTGGCAATTGTTCTGCTAATTCAACAGCTATAACTTAGGCCAGATTCATTATCCTTTACGTGCACAAAATTAAAACACAGCTAGGACAATCAGGCAATCAGTGACCAGTTTAACCACAGTATATGGTACTCTACCAACCTTAACAAAACGTGGATTCTGCGGCCTAGACTCAACTCCAAGTACTAAAGAGCTTAATTAGCCCTCCAGTGATCCTCATACACGAGAATACTAAACCTTGCTGAGTTTTTTAACATTCTGTGAATCCACTTACGGTTTTTCAAAGATATGAAATTGCTTCAACATTTCCCACAACAAGCCTCTTGCTTAAAAAACAATCATATTCTCTTAGTTGGAGTCACTCATCTTAAGAAACCTATATACTTCCTTTTGTTCCAAATTAGTTGACTGTATCCCTTTTGGGAAGTTTCTTTTTGGTTGAAATGTTTCTATTTTAGGTAGGTTTTAAAAAGTTCAATTCCTATTTCATAATTTCTAACCTTTTAAAGTTAATAAGCAATTGTCAGAAGAGATTTTTTTTCATTAATAAGACCTAAAGAAAGTAAACAGACCTGGCGACTGTAGAAATTAGTAATAAAAAATCTCAAACACACCATTCATCATTTATTTATTGAATATCCCAGGAAAGCCAGTTTCAGATTTTAACAAAGGAATACTCTAAACAGATATATTTTGACAACACCCCTATAATACCTGTGAATGTATGCCACTACGAAATTTGAAGACCTAATAAACAAATGAAACTGAAACAGCAAATTACAGATAGCATCACAAATCCTGGCCAAAAACAAACCTTTCAAGGCATCCCCATTTTCACTCCCATAGAAAACTCCACCAATGCAGCACTTCTTGAAGACCATTTTGTTCTCAGTTAAGGTACCAGTTTTGTCAGTCAAAATATATTCAACTTGTCCCAAGTCTTCACTAATTGCTGTACTGCAAAAGAAAAATACAATAATATCCTTCCACATTCATCATGTATTGGACTTATAGAAGCAAAGAATCATATCTTACTTTGCTGCATGAGAAGGGACACCTGTTTCTTGGTCAAACATTTCAAGATCCCAGTCAATAAACTTTGCATATAAACTCTTTACCAGATCAAGAGATACCTGCCAAAATCAAAGTATACAAACTTCACATATAAGACACACTGCACATAATTATACATAGATGATTATTATATTTTTTTCAACACCAGTATACATGTTCATCAGTCCAAAGCCAGTATACATATCCGTCTAACTCCAAAGCCAGAATACATGCTCATCTAACTCAAATTAGTGTACATATCAAAGTTTTGTACGTTTTCAGACACAGACATATCTACATGACCAAAACTTCTGTTATTAGTATGCCATTTTCTATGGTTATATCTGTCAATAAGCAGGTTTCTCATGGTATCTTCATATAATCCTAACCACTACTTCAGCTACAGATCTAAATCTTCGAAATAAACCAAAGATAGTTTACAGTACCAGATACTCATTCTATATGGCCCAGTTTTTCTCGATGCCCACGAAAGTAACAATAAATAGGAAGAGAATGGCATAGCCTAGGACTTAAAACATAATCAAGAACCCGCCTAACCATTAAAAAAATACTTTCAACTGAAAAGGCAGGAAGTTTTTAAAATGTGAACCAGGCAATAACCCAGCCACTTACAATGAAACTTGAATATTGAATGCATCTGTGGAAAGGCTTATTCCAATAAAGTGATACAGAAAATAAACTAGAAAGACACCAACAGGATGTCACATTGTCACCCATAAACAAAGGAAAGATAAAGATTGAAGGACTCATTCAATCAAGCTATCGTGAAAATATTTATCTACATAAGCAAAAAATGCCAAGTGTCACTCAGAACTTAATACTACTTGACAACAGCTACACCAAAACTTTAAAGAAAGGAACCATGAAATGCAAACAGCAAAGGACAGAAAAACAGCAATAAGATTGAAATGGTTTATAATATCACCAGGAGAAGCAGTATAGAAGGAAACAAAGAGGAAAGCTCAATTAGGAGCAGAGAGCTCCAAGCAATCCCCGAACAGAACACGCCAATATGATCCATAAAAGGAGACACAGGAAAGAACCAAAGGAAGGGGATGATAAGTCGGAAAAATAAGGAAAAAAACGCCACATAGGATAAGTGAAACAAAAAAAGACGCACACAGACAATTGAAAAGGGTATTAAAGAAACATGCTAACTCACAAAAGCAAGTTTGGTCAAACTTACATGAGAGGTAAAATAAGCTGCCTACCTTTATTGAAATGGGAATCATTATGGAACATAGCAGCTCAAACCGTAAAGGGATAATCAGCAGTTCATACCATGGGCTCTCCTTCGGATATAAAACGTACCATTGCTGCCAGAGCAAGGAGAAGAAAGGAGAATTATTAGTCAAGCATTAATTTTTACAACATTTTTCTAACTTATATAGACACAAACACAAACAGTAAATTAACTTATACAACATTTGCAAGCAGAAGCAGACCTTTCTTGCTTCAGAATCTTTCCAGACATTTCCAGCTACACCAAGAACAGTCACAACCACTATCTGGAAAACAAATATTGCCCCAGTTAACTTGTCAATCATGGCATCAACAGCAGTTAACTTGGGCTCAGGGATCCCCCGGCTCATTCCAAGCTTGGTTTCATTGCCTGGATATTGAAAATGGGGAAATTGTCAAGTAAAAGAATACAGCAGCTTCACCGAATCTTTTCAAAATCTCAAGCCGTCGCTAGAAACATTGAACCAAATATTTGAAGTCCAATAACAAATTTCCTATTTCTTCACATGAACTCAAGTGGCAAAGAATCCAGATAATCAACATCACCTAATGGCCTTATGCTTGATATTGATATATTATAGTTCACATATTGTTCATGTGATATCAACCAAAGATTTAGCAGCAATTGTTCATGTGACTTTTAGAATAATAATCAATTACCCTATAATGGTTGAAGTTTACAAAAGACACCAAAGTCTAAAAATTGGTTTTTAATTGTATACACAAACTTATAAAATTCTTGTTCTTGTCACAAGTTCGAAAACTATAAAAGCTCACCTAAAAATTTTCACGAGTTGAGCAAAACTAAGCTTGGCTTGAAAACCTTGTGAGTAGGCTCAAATGTTTCTTTACTTTTATCTACTATTGAATCATACTTCCTCCATTATTTTTACTTGATGCCTTGCCAATGCATAAATTTAATCATTATTATCTTCAAATCTTTATTATAAGTAAAAATTAAAACAACTAAATAATATGATAGGATTTTTTGAGATGATTCAAACTAGATCCCACATGACTGTTTTTCTTATGTATAATCACAAAAGGAAGTCAAAGGTGCATGTCTGAATAGTGTAAAAGTCAAAATAGGTCAAGTAAAACTAACGGAAAAAAGTATACAATAAAATCTAACTGGAACCTTTAGTAAAAAGTAACATAATATTGGTGGGAAGATCAACAAGTTAGCTCGAAGAAAGTTTTAGAATAGAAGTTATAATTTTAAATATCAAGTTGAGTTTTATGATAATATAAACTTAAAAGATAAAGCACGACAAAGTTTGAGATTAAGTTCAAATAAAAGTTTAACAAGCTTTTCCAAAATTAAATAATCATGCATAAAACATTTAAGAAGACATGGCAGTCAGGAAGCAGAGTTCGATATGGGTACAGATCTGAGTGCCAGATACTATAATTCCAAAAATAAGCTACATAGGGACTCTAATATTTTTTCTTTGTCGGTTATCAACTTGAAAATCCATTTGCAACCAATAGGTGTGTAACCTTCGGGCAAATCAACCAAGTCCCAGACTTGATTTTCCAACATGGGGACTCTAATATTGAAAACAAGTACAGTACACATTTTAGAAACTTTTAACTAATGGAGAACTTGAAAGTCAATAATGTCTTCTTAATTATAATTTCAGTAAGAAAAATAAAATGAAGAAATATGAGTATACTCTATTAAAGTAATAACCACAACCCCCCAACCTCCACCCCGCGCGCGCGCGCACACTCATTCTCTCTGTCCTCTTCTCTCCTCAACCCACCCACCCTGCAATCTCCAACCACTTGAGGTCATCAGAAAAGCGTGTGAACAAGGCCATTAGGATTCCCTCACTAGGGCGACCAAAAGCCCTAACATTTTACAGTTTTTTCCCCAACGATTGATGAGTCAAATTTATAGGGCTTCCACAACTCAAAAATTGAGGTAACCAAGTCAGAGGTATATAAGCCGGATCCGACCCAGATTTCGTACCCATGCCAAGGTCATGTCATGTCAATACGGGTACATAAAGAAATACAGAGAATCTAGGTAACATGGCTTGTCTCTTTTTAGAGCTATCAAAATGCATAAGGTTCCTCGGGGAACAAGTTTCACTTAAATCAAAGAATGGGAAAAAAGTTAAAGTACACATGTAACATATGAAAACGCACTTTTTCAAAAACATTGAACTTAATTTGGGACAAAAAAGTTTTTTTTTTGTTTTTTTTTTTTTTGGTACTTCATATTTTCTACACAACCAGCTTTTTTGATATTAAACCGCCTTTTTTCTAAAGAGCAAGAAACAGAAATCATGAAGTGCTAAAATCAGCCATAAGATAATAATTTCCTACAAAAAGAATATGTATTACTTTTTTTTTTCCTTTTTTTTTTAATAGCAAAAATATTTTATTAATTAAAAGTCATACGACATTTACAAAAGAGATTCGACATTAACAAATACATAAGATATTGAATCAAATAAAATTTTTCTTCATAAAATCTACGATCGTCGAGTAGATCTTGCACGGTGGAACATCTCCCGCTTATATCGCTTGACAAATGTTTTCCTTCTGATTCATCTGTTTGTATTCGAAAACTTGATAACTTTTTCACCAATGAAATAATTTCGCGACAATCCATTAGATCTAATATCATGGATTCAAAACTAAGAAATTTCTCCCCCGAAAAGAGGAGATAAACCTTGTCTTTCGAAGGAGGTCGAAAAACCCTTGTCTTTCGAAGGAGATCGGAAACCCTTTCTTTCAAGAGAGAAAAGTTCCTCCCAAAAGGAGGAAGCATTATTATAAACCTAAAAAAAACTTTAAAGAAACAAGGATTGGGGCTTTCCACCGGTTAAAACCGATGGAAGCCCCTTCAAAATTCAACAATGGAGGCTAGGGTTTTGGAGAGAGGAAAGAGGAGAGAGGAGAGAGATAAATTAAGAATATGTACTACTAGATTACACATACAAATAGGAAAAAAAGTAAACATGATATAGAGTATTAGTATAGCAATTGTTGAAATATAAGTTACATTCTTATTGTACAATATCCAGGAGATAAGGATAAAGAATAAAAAATAGTAACAACAGGGAAGAAGTTAGGAGTAGTTATCCCTTAGGTTTTACAAAAAAAAACTCTTAGGTCCTTTGCTTATCAAATACACCACTTCCTTTTTTCCTCATCCCCACTCAAGATTTAGAGTTACCTAGTCTGTTATCCCTTAGATTTTCAAACAAAAAAAAAAAAAAGGAAACTCTTAGGTCCTTTGACTATTAAATATGTAACTCCCTTTCTTCCTCATCCCCACTCAAGATTAAGAATTACCTAGTCAACTTAGAGATACTAGTGATTCTACAGTATTTAAAACATTTTTTCCCCTCTCTCCTAGCTAGATTTTATCGTGTTCATTAAGTCAAAAACCTACCACTTGCATGATGCCTGATTCTATCTGTAGTTCTGTACTGCCTTGCACCAGCAAGAATGCACTGTACTGGGAGCGCCTTGAGGCGAAAAGGGGCAACACATCTGACTCTCAAAGTGCCGTAGAAGCCCCTGAGCCTAGGCATGCTTTTGAAACTCTTTTTTTCTTTTACGTGAAAATACCATCAGCAAACCTACCATGTCACCCATGCAGTACAGGCAATTGCTAAATCCATCACACACAGACACGCTTAATGAATTACAAATTTTTTTGTCCACAAATCAAGGTGTGGCTCCATATAAAACACTTGACTCTACATATACAACAGTATCAAGAAACATATCTGATAAACAAGCTTTCCTCAAAAACACCTTTTCATATTGATAGAGCAAGTGAAAGAAAAGGGGACAAATGATAAAGAAGGTAATAAAAGACGTAAGCGAATATCTCAAAACACATAATTTTTCTATGTTCTGAAGAGCAAAACTTTAAGAAACGAATAAAACTCCATGAGACAGAATAATTGCTTTTGTGCTTGTATCAGGTGGTATAGACTATAGAGCACTACATCGGACAAAGAAATTCTTTGTTTTACCCCATAGCCAGATAAGTTTGCATAAACATAGACAAGGGATTGCTTTTCGGCAAAGAATACACAAATAGTTTTATGCAAGAAAGTGTAGATAATTAGATCATCTTCTGTTTGTTGAGATAACATAGGACTGAGGACTGACCAGTGTAGACTGCAACTCCACAAGCCCATTCTGTATTCCTCAGATAGCATGACTGAAGAATTGTGTTATCAATTGTTAAAGGGCATAAATCATTGTCAATGAATGGAGGAAATAATCTGAGATTTGCATCAAATCTCATAATATCCTTATCCGGATTAGGGCACTCAATGACCCCCTGCCAATGGTAGAAAAAGAATTTACATTATCATGATGTGATTTCCCATCTAAAAGTTAAAGGCATAGCTACACTAAATAGGAGATCATGCCTTTATTTTTTGTAGTAGTTCAAAGTCTATGCCCATGCATGCTGAGGGAATCACTCTTCTCTTCAGATCAGTTTCTCCATCCAATGCAGCAGTCTGTAAATTTGTTGAGTCAAAGAAAAGACGATGTAGTTACAAACTTACAATATCAAAGCTATCCTGATTCCTGACCTTATTGATAGATCTGAACATGATATAACACAAGCACTATGATTACTTCTCTTATACATGGATGGCACTCCTTATACAACAATATAAAGATAGCATTTCAAAGTAAATGGGGCTGACTGACAATTATCGACTTATCAGTAAGCACAAGAAACAGCTTCAGATTCAATTCACTTTGTTTATGTTAGGTATACGATTCCAAGAGGTCATTAATAATTTTGAAAGTCCCTTAAGGATTACCACATGTATCAGACTAATTCATTTTTTTTATTATATAATTTGGTGTGTGCAATCCTTTTGACACCCAAGGATGTTTTTGTAGTTTTACACACATTACTTTTTACTCAATCTCTGAATCTATTATTTTCAGGTAGACCTTCAGAATAGTTTTTCGGTTGTCAAAGGGAGAAAAAAATTGGACTGTAACAAGTCTGAAACAAAGTGGATTTATATTATGTCAATCACAAGACAATCTTTAGTGCAATATATTGCAAAATTGATTCACTATTTGGATTTGTTTAATATTACAACTCGGTTCATATTACAAAGACAAGCTTCTTTCATAATCAGCATCACACATTGATTTATTCTTATTCATTAAAAAAAAAAGGGGGGGGAGGGGGGTGGGGGGTGGGAGGGGGGGGGGTTATTTTCCATTTGGTACCATTGTAGTTTTGGTTTTTCCATTTGGTACCCAATTTTTAGTTTTTACTCCACATGGTACCATTGTCATTTTGTCTTACTCTTTACTATAGCATTTCGTTAAATGTAACATTAGTTTGGGGCGATTGTGGTCCTTTAATTCTAATTTCGAGTGCAAATTTTGATCCTTCAAGGTCATAATGACTTCCAAAACTTTAACCGAACATTTTTTTTGCACTAAAAAAATCGAAATTTACAAATTGAGACATTTTTTATGCACATAATTAACCGCGGCATTTTTTAGCTTTTTTTTTTTTTTTTTTTTTTTTTTGCTAATTTTGACCTCAAACTTGAACCTTATGGTCGCTAAGGGCTAAAACATTCTCTTAAAACTTTAACCGATCAATTTTAATGACACCCAAATCAAAGAATACATAATATATTTGATGGAATGCTACGGTAGAGAATAAATTGAAAGTATAATGGTACCATTTGAAATTAAACTAAAAATTGGGTACCAAGTGGAAAAGTCAAAACTACAATGGTACCAAATGGAAAATCCCTAAAAAAAAATAGTCACAATAATAATTGTAATAAACTAATAATGTAATTCAGACAAACAACTTGAGTGTGTGAATAGATCAACAAATCACCTCCACGTAACATGTTCCTTGCGGATCAGAAGAACCAAGCAAAACAAGATCACATGGAACTTCATCATTTTCACGAAGCCACACGAGATTGCCCACATGAATATCTTGAGATTGAATCTGGAAAAAAAAAAAAAAAAGGTTGCAGCATGAAAAACATCAAATATCAAATGCAATATATCAAACTATATATTAAAGGAAATCTTAACATGTTTGTAGACTTAGTCACAATGACTTATAAGTTTTTTTCCCATCAATCATAAATGCCTTTTCGCATACCCAATTATCCTTCTATTCATCCGGTTTTCTATAAAATCATAGCTGTTTTGCGCTCTTCTAAGGCTTGAGTCAAAGACAGCTTAAAGTTCATAGTCTCATATTTCATCCCTAATGGTTGCTAGAAAGAAGATTTCTTCGACTTAAGGTCTGTTAGTATAACAAGCTGAAATTGTGAAATCATTAAGCTGCTCAAATCGGTGACTAGTTCAAAATGTAGCTGTAAATTAAAAAGGTGACAGCTCAAATACTTTTGGTGAATTGGTAAAGAATAGCCAAAAGCTGAAATATATTTGAAACAATAGCTAACAGCAAAGATTGGGTAAAGTTAACAGATGTTGAAAAGCCATCTCATTATATGAGAAGCCAGCTAAAAAGAAGGAAACTGACTTGAAATCGTAAGTTAGCTGAAATTATAATCTAGCAGAACAGAAATGCTTACCAAATATGACATAAAGTTAAAAAGAAAAAATGTCGGGTGAACTACTTGCCAAACATGCTACATGAAATTGGTAGTTAGCTATAGCCTATAAGATTCATAGGAATGCCACATGAGTATGAGCGCATAGAAATGCTAATACAACACATGCTCTTGTAAAGTAACTAAAGAAACTCCCAACCACTGCAAATCCTATCGTTTCTCTCCAGCCAAACTAGTGAACTACCCCTTGCGTCTTCCAAACTTCATGAACTAACTATGTACAGGATTGGCACTAACTCACTAAGGGAGTATTTGGTGCGTGGAAATTAGAGATGAGATTGGGAAGCTTGGTCCCATTTGTAACAAATCCAGGAATGGAAACATAAGAGGGAAGGGGGAGGGATTGGGAACAGAAACTCCTAGTTCCCATGAAAATAAAACCTAGGGGGGCTGGTAATATTGAATGAGAATCGAGAGGGGAGTTGAAATGATTAAATTGTCATACAAGAACAGCAAGAGGGAGAAATGTTGGAAAAGGTATGTAATCGTGTTATTTATCCCCATAATCAATATCTAATCCTCATCCCACTCTCTAATCCCCAAATTCTCATTCCAACATACCAAACACCGCTTGAAGAGTAAACCGGGTTATCCAATATAACCCCACTAAAGCATATCCCCCACTAAAGCAAGTAGTCTTCTTACACTTGAAATGTTACATGATTACTATGTCTATATTTATGTATAGCTAAGAATGTTGGATGTAGTTTCTTCTAGCGCTTAGGTTGCATTACCTAATACTCTAATAGGTTTTAAATCCAGAACCACTAGGCTCCTAGCATAATTAGAGCATGCTGCAAAAAATGTTCCTTAGTTGATCCAGTTGTCAGCCTCATTGTCCTTTTTTCCCTTGTAAAGCTAGAGAAAAAATCTGTATTTGTAAAAGAGTATACAATTGAGATAGAATTAAGTACGATACTAAAATTCTAGAATTCCATACATCTGAACAAAATATTTTAGACAAAGCTACAAAAGCATGGGTACATGAGGCTAGAAAAAATCTTAATCCCACAAAAGACTGGTCCGATTGATATCTTATAATGGAATCCCAGTAATGGAATTCCTAACTAGCCACAACAACCAAAACAACCAAAAACATAGTAATGGAATCCCAGCCCATAAGTAAGCCTCCCGTGATGTCTTATAAACTCAGATAGAGAAGTACAAGTTTCAAAGGACTGTAGCTAGGAGTCTGAATTAACCCACTCTTCAACATTTAAGGTCAATTCCAACTAGAAAGTAGCTTTTGCAATGTAAAATAAAGGACTAATCGTAGCCCTTAGGAACATAAATTAAAGAACGACACTTCATTTGATCATTGAAAAAGCACTATAAAATTCTTAGTAAATTTCTTTAACATCAATCTGCAAGGTAATAAATATCTTTACTTGCTAAGGAACATTAGGCTTCCAAAACCTACAGGTGAAAGGTGAGAATGAGGACTTCTCCATAGAAATTATTATGTTGCATCTACTATACTCTCCTACCTAGAAAATATTGATGGTGAAACAGAACATATCTCAGTCTAGGTCATTATTTATTAATTGTATATTCAGAATATTGACATCCCCTTATAAAAAGCAAGGAAAAAGCGATGATGCAAGAGTGTTTAACCATGGGTTCAAAGAGATAATGCAAGTGAAGAAAAAGAGGAAGCTCCCACAAAGCACATTCCCAGTTCCCAAAAATAGATATGACCTCAACTCCACACCTTAATTGTAACAAAGTAAAAAAAAAAAAAAAAAAACGTAATCAAATATACAAAAATTCAAGGCCAAAGTCGGTAGAGTGAACACCTGCAACAGCAACACAATAAATCCTCTAAATCTAATAAAATTCTTTTACAATTATATAGACTTAGAAACCTGAATTAAACCCAATTGTCAATTTTAGCTATATAATTCTAAATGCCTGCAACCTAGTTTCAGCAAAACAATTAAAATGATAGGTAAATTTTTACTTGATTCCACTTTCTGTGTGCCAGTGGCTTTTAGCCAGATATACTGGAGAATCTCTAGAGAGGAAAATAGCTATGCAAATATATGAAGAGATGAAATTCATACATGCTTTCTAATGCCATTCCTAACAACCCACACTTCTTTCTCATTTGCATTCTTGTCAGAAAGAAAACGATTGTAATCATCCCATGCTTCTTTTGTTGCTGATACTGCAAATATAAATATAAGTGGACCCCAGGTACTGGCAGGATTAACAGGGGTAATGAGTGGCCATAACTGAAGACAAGCAATCAACAGAAAGTACTGGTTCATAAATCGGCTGCAACAAAAAGAAGATACAATCATGTCAGCAAACAACCAGAACCTAAGATGGCCAGTTTCATCTTTAAGTACAAATGAACACCTTATATTCACAATGGATTTAAAGGTGCATATTAATGTATACAACTGAGAAATTAAACAGATTCCATGAACTAAAGCATAATTAAAATAGCTAAAAATAATAAATTATGTCAACTCATAGTAATGTAAGTTTTGTTTTACTGAGGCACATAAGAAGATGTCCACATAGGCAGGGATTTTTATAATAAATTTAATAAATTTTGATAATTACTAAAAGATAGCTATCTGTGTGTACAGTTTTGACATAGCTCACATATACTGATATACACAAAACTCTTTAAGATTTTATTATTCAATAAAAGTTAAACACTTGAGCTAAGCTGTGAAGGTGAAGGGTATTAAACCCAAAACTTTTTCATGGGTATAAATCCATATGCATTTAAAATCAAAGAGACCCACCAATTAGCTCAATAAATAATGGGGACATGTAATTTGTTCATATTAAAAAAAAATAATAATAATAAATAAATAAATAATAAATAAAGAGAGATAACAGACATCTCCTCCCATTACCAATAAATTAGATAGGTACCCTGCTTGGGTTTGTAAGTGCTCCAACTCTTTACAACATCTCTCGCAGAATGAGCATTTCCCCTACTGTCTGTAATTCTTCCACTAAATCCCTTCTAATTTTCCAAAATTTCTCAAGCCTAAGTTTCATATTGATGTTTGGTGGCAATACATAGATCTCAGATGCCAATCATAATGGTTGTAGATAGTATAGAGCTCCGGATACTTTCTTGCAGAGTGGTAGGTGTATTTGAGATACAGACTCACCATGCCTATAGATACTGTCACACAGTTGTAGATTATTTCAAAAGAACTTGGTTTTTTCAGCATGATAATAGCATTCCAAGTTCAAGTGAAATGGTAGGAAAGTTGTAAGTAATAGGAATGTCCATTATTCAAATTAAAACTGAAATCCAATCCAATCCAATCCAAACCGAATTATCAATTTGGATCACTTTAAATCGGATCAGATCGAATTGAAATATTTTGAAAATTCAAATTTTTGGATTGGATCAAATCGAATTGAAATATTTTGAAAATTCACATAAGAGCATTATCGTGGACACAGCTTTATTTCCTTTAACTTTTCACATGCCAGGTACTTTCTTCGACACTTTCCCCTTTTGTCATTTCTCCCTAAATGTTAGAATAGTCACACCAGTTTGAATTTTAAACTACCAGTTAATATCAGTAACCACATACTCCATGGGTAAAAATATGTTTTCAATTGTGCTCGTGTGAATTCCTATGACAAGTTTGTAATTTACAAATTCCCTGAGCGAGATAATTCAAACACTTATCTGGCAAAGAATTTCAATAATAAGCTATTGCGATGTTATAAATTGTTATTTGATATAAAGTTGATGTGAGTAGAAATAATGGTATCAAAAAGGTGAAAGTGATAGAAGATATGGGTATATATTTTAATGAATGTGAGAGACAGTAGGACCTAAACATTTTGGTAATGGAAAGAAAGATGTATTACAATAATAGTGTGGTCTTTCCCAATTAGGAAATATTCAAACTTATCTAGAATGAATGAAAAAGAATAAGTGTTTGAAATATTCTAGGATGGAAAGAGTATTACTTTTGGGTCAAATTCTTTTCCCGAAACAAAATCTAAGGTGTTGCAAGATTAATAATATTAAATTTTGTACAGACAATTTTTAATAGATTCAAATATCAAAATGAAAACCATAGCAACCAATATATATTCAACACCTCTAATCATTCATACTAACCATTTTAGCCTTCGTAATAAAGCCTAAAGCTTAAAAAAAGCTATATACGACATACTATGTTATTTGGACTTGGGCACCCATATCCGACACAAATATGTGTCCAAGCGTCCAACTCGGCTATTTTGTGAAAAAATTCCATGATTTTGAACTAAAAGTGAAGTGTCCGGGTGTCATACCCAAGTCCGAGTGTCTAAGAGTCCGGCATGGTACGTGAGGTGAAATGAAGAGTATGAGTAGCATAAACGACATATAGGGCCGATATATTATTCTCAAAGATAGAAAACAAAGTGTCCTGAGACGGCAAGGTTGATGGTTGATCACATCTATATTTGTATTGGGCAATATGAGCATGCTCATTTTGGGTTTCACTTTATGTTATCCTTATACATCTAAGGAAACAAAGGTAGTCATTCAAAGCATGTTGCAAACTAAGCATAAAAATAAACAACTTATCCAGTAATCCAATAAAATCATGTAATTCTCCTCTCAAATACTTCATAATAGAAGATCATTAAATCAATTTTACACTTTCACTTATCATTTCTTAAATGTTCGTGCAACAACCAGACCGCCCAATCCATAAGTCTAGTATCTAGTATACATATAATTCAGTTCTGCTAGGAAGTGTAGTGCTGGACACCTGGACACACTCATGCTACTGCTGTTAACACGTGGCAGAGTTTTTTATGACTCATGAATTTGCCAGTTACTTACAATCAAAATAGTTTCTTGTAATAAATCTAATTATATCATACATAGCAATGTGACATTATCATATTAATAGCACATAGCTTCAGATAACCAACAACAAATGAGGCAAAGAAAGTGAGAAGTCTATTGAAATGCATGTTAAAAAAAATGAAAACGTAAGCACTTGCAAAATTACAGTCAATAATATTGGCAACAGAATATCAACCAAAGAGAGTTGATGATAAAGTCAACTTTAATAACTACTTAAGCACATCATTGAGAATGCAAGAACACAACAAACAGCTTCAAAATACAAAACCCCAACAAATTAGGAAAAAAACACATCACCTGAATTGTTCCAATAAGTTCTTTGGGAGGAAGTTGAGCAATGTGTACTTGCGATTCGATACACGATTATCACAGTAAAGTTCATGAACAGATTCATCGTCATTGATATAAACATAGCGCTTCATCATGTTCTGTAATCATAAAATCATAAAAACCACATCAATAGCCATACCCAAGCTAATGCAGCCAAAGTTCATAGTTCAACCCTAACGTTTAAGAGTTCTGCAATTACATTAGCAGCCAAATTTGATTCAATTATCAAATCAAGCTCGAAAAATCACATAATTTTGGGGAGAAATGGCATATTTGATTCAATTATCAAATTAGGCTCATAATTTTCTTCTCTAACAACATAATCGCTCGTTAATAATCAGAACCAATAGTTCAAGAAATCAAACCCTAAATTTACTATAATGACAATTAAATTAAATTAAATTAGTTTAGATCAAAGATTAACCCTAGATTGTGAATTGAAATGGATTACATAAAGAAACAACAGCTTACCTCAGAAGCTGCTTCAATGGAGGATAGAAATATTAGAACGCGCTTCAATGGAGAGCGTGGAGCGCGCTTCAATGGGAAACTGAGGGGGAGAGAGAGACAGAGATGGAGGAAGACAGGTACGTTCCACAGTTTTTTTTTTTTTTTTATTTATCCATTAAAGTAGCTTGTACACCGTATTATTATGTATTTCTCGTATTCTACTAATTGATTGTACCCCTAATTAATATTTAGGAGTGTCCATTATTCAAATTAAAATCGAAATTTAACTCAATCCAAACCGAGTTATTAATTCAGATTAGATTCAAATATTTAATCGGATTGGATCTAATTATTTTAAAAAATCAGATTTTCAGATTGGATCGAATTGACCCTGTTTGGATTATTTTAAACACAAAAGTTTAAAAAAAGCGGGTTTACAATAATTTATTGAATGGCGGTGGTTAAGTCTCAGTCTACACATGCGAAAGTTTCACGTTTCTATTTTTCACTCTCCTCCTGGGTTTCTATCCTCTTTTTCTGCTCTTTTTCTCTCTCCTCTGCTCTTCTTTATCTCTCTTTCTCTCCTTTGTTCTTCAATTTCGTTCTTTTTTTTTTTTTATTTAATCTTGTTTTAACATAATTTTTCTGTTTTGATCAGTAATTCATCTTTTACAACCAATTTTGAGTTATGTATGTTATCTAATTTTGAATTTTTGGTTATTTTAAGGTAAGTTCATCTAAAGTCTATTTTAATTTTAGTTTTAGTTTTCTATAATAAAATTATAATGGAAAATGTTAACCTTCCAAAAAATGAGACAATTGCTCCTCCTACTAGTTCAATCGAAAAAATTGTAGGTATATATTCTGAATTTTGTGACCTAATTTTTTTAATTTTTCCAATTTTTGTCTTTTTTGTTGTTTTCTATGTTTTTATGTGTTAATGTATTGTAATAAGTGATTTAATAAGTTGTTGTTGTTTTTATGAGTTATCGCTGATTTTTATTTGTTATTTAATCGATTAGGTGTTGATGATTTTTTGCATTATTATAATCGATTTAAGAGGTGTTGATAATTGTTTTTCTATTTTTAATTATATGTGTTAAGTTTTAAATTTCTGGTTAGTAATCTCTTTGTTATTGTTTTGATGTATTGTTGTAAAAATTGTATGGTTTTATTAGGATACTTCGTATGTGTTTGTGGCATTATAATAAGTCTTATGTGTCCGATTTCTTCTCTGAGGTCTAATCTTACTTGCAGCAACATTGAAGGCAACTCGTTATTATGCTTAATGCTCTGACTATTCTAAAAAGTTATTATGTTACTTTTGGATTGTCATTTTACTTTTTGCTTGTTTCTTTAAGCTCTAGGGAACTATGTTGATGATGGGAAATGCATGAGGCAAATAAGCCAAAAGAACTGTTTATTTTTCAATTGGGAGTAGAAGTTGCAGAAGATATCTGTAATACCTCGTATACGTATTTTAATTTAAATTATTATTTCATAAAGTATTTAAATAATTCTAAAAGAATTATTTATGGTATTTATTAATTCTAAAAAGATTTATTTTAATTAAAGGTCTATTTTCACTTATTTAATAGTTTTGAAAATATTTTATTTCATGACTTGGAAACTTTGGGGCATATGATTTTATAAAAGGAAGTTTTTAAGTCAATGGAATTTTAAAGAAGTTAAATGACTAGTTTGAATAGGAGAAGGGATCATTAAGGGTAGAAAGAGAATTTAAGCTAAGGAGGGTTTTAGAGAGGAGGTATAAATACCCATCTTATAAGCAAGTTAGATCTTGCCCAAGGTGGAGAATACCCAAAGGTAAACTCTCTCTCTCTCTCCTCTTATTTTCTCTCTCCCTTAATTTTCCCCCCTCCCCTCTTCTCACATTACATGACACACACACACCACGCACGGGTGGCCGGCTGCCACCACCAGCACTCGCCGGCAGTAGCAGCCCTCCTTCCTCCCCCCTTGTGCATGCGATTCGAACAAAAAAAAAACTCTTCTTTTGTTTTAAATTAGTTTAGCCTTGATTCAATTAGCATATTGAACATACTCTCATACGAGACATCAATAAGTGTATAAACTTTGTCATTCCTCCTTGTTGGGGGTGTATGACCACGTTGAAGGTGAATGGTTTTCTCTCAACAGTGTTTGAGGAAGAATTATGGTTTTCTTTTTCAAGGGCACGTCTATTTTCAACTTCCTCTGCTTTCTAGCGGAGAGTTTCAAGTTCGAGCCTTATCTCCTCTAATGTGTTGATAAGGGCACATACTTCTCCTCTACTGTCAGCCTATTTACCAATAGTTAAGGGCTTAGCTTCTTCTTGGAAGTCGCTCATGGCTTCAAAGAAAGTCTCCTCTTCCTCTTTAATGGCATGAGCCTCTTCTATTGGCTTAATGAGGAGTGATAGATCCATAGGATCTTGTTCGTTAGAAATTGCTAAGGAATCCGAAAGTGGAGAAGTATTGATGCTTGGTTTCTTGCTAGTAGGAGGTATTGGGAGTTTGTTGTTATCAATCAAGTCTTGAATGGCTTCTTTTAATTCCAACAACTCTGAGTAGAGTGACCCCTACCTTGGTGATATTTGCAGTGTGCATTCGGATTCTAACTAGTTGTTCTTCTTCCAACTGGTGGATCTTGCATAGGTCCAATGGGAGTAATGAGTCATTTGGCATGAAGACGGTCAAAAGCAGTATCATAGCTTATCCCAATAGGAGTGAAGTCTCTCCTAAATTGCTTCTTTTGTCGTTGATTATTCATGGCGAGAACATCATTTAAGTTAAAGGTGCTAACATTGTTGCTAGAATGGGTGGCCTTGGAAGAAGAAGGATTGTCGTTCTTCTTTCCTTTCCAGCCATTGTTGTTACTATTGTTAGCAGCTTTCTGTTTTGCAGTATCATCTTCAATATCAATGCCTATGTTATAGACAGCTTTGAAAGTATTCAAGTTGTTTTGATATTTTAAATGCTTTAAGTATTTTTCTTGAAGGTTCTTGATGAACATCCTTATAGACTCCCTTTCACTAGGGACTTCAATCATTCTAGCAGAAGTTTCCTTCCACTTATTGTTTAGGGTAAAAATACCCTGTCCACGTGGCCCTATAGCATGCTGACAAGTGTCAGCCTCAGAGAGGTCCTAGGGGATCCAATCCTCTACTGACACGTGGCACTTTAACACTAAAAGGGGAACTAATCCCCTTCCACTATAAATAGAGGAAAATCCTCATTTATTACACATTCATAAATATACATACAAAAACGAGCAATATTAATTGCAGAATCCTCTTGAAATCCGAGGGAAAAACCTTTACATTCCGCACTTTTATACATCCGGAAACGTTTTAACTTGATCGTCGGAGGCGGAACTCCACCTAACCGGAGTTTCCGTGGTTTTGCAGGTACAGACAGTCGACGCGCATTCTTGGAATTGTAACTCTCCCGAGGGACTCCAAAACCCCGAAACATTTGGCGCCGTCTATGGGGAGAGTACTTCTTAGATGGCATCAGAGTCTGTACCGCCTGTTGAGAGCAAACGGCCTATGGCCGAAACTGAGGTCCACACGGACCAAGATAGTGGTGACGACTTTGAGATCGACACCTACGTGGCCCTAGACGGGTCATTCAGAACAAGACGCACCTGTTCCAAGGAAACAAGGGAACGGGGCGAAGACAAAGCTGGTCCTAGCAGCCCAATCGTCAAGCCGGCTGGGCGACCCTAGGCGGCAGAGGGTGCTGCCCCCGTAACTAGAGACGAACTTATGAAATTAATGACGAGTTTCAAAGGGGAAATCAAGGACCTAATAAATAAGTCAACTGGCACCAACAAGGGTCAGTCGGCCAAGAAGCCTTCTCCTTCTGGGAAGAAGCATGTGAAAGATCGTGTGCCTATGCCACACCCTAAACCAAAGGGGGCGGACGAGCCAATGATCGACCTGTCCAAACTTCGTTTCCCTGAATCAGGGCAAAGGAAGGCCATCCGACAAGTTCAGCCGGATGGGTCAAAAAGGACTTACTCAAATGCCCGGATGTTAATCCAGCAGAAGAGAAGTTAACAATTGTCTGAGTTGGCCTCAACGTCGACTTACCCAGACAGTTTTCGGAATACTTCAATGAAGTATTCGGAAAACAAACCGAGAGAGTCAGTCACGCGGCATGTCCGCACGTATTGACCCTCAGATTATCCAGTCGGCTCCGTATGTGCCCCAACAGCCATACATGCCGTATGGATCACCATACATGCAGCCGGCTCTCTTTGGGGTCAGGCGGCACAACATGTCCAGCCCATGGACTAGCAGCTCCGGCTGCTAAACCTTAAGGAACAGCCGTCGGCGTTCTCCAGGGAGATAACCGAGGCGGCTCAGCCGGCCAAGGTTAAGAACGTGTTGGTTGGTACCTATGACGGTACCACCAACCCGGAAGACCACCTAATGGCTTACACCAACCTTATGTACTTACAGGGGTTGGATGATGCCGCCTGGTGCCGATG